CTTTTGTTATTCGGAGCTTCCACCTCCCTGTTCCTTTCTGAGGTCAGGCGGCCACTTCCAAACCCCCACGGCGTTCAGAGCTCCGCTGGATCCCGGTGCAGCCAGGTGCGCCCCCGGAAGCCGGGTCGGAGGTAGGAGAGGGGAATGAAGTGGAGGTGGGGATCGGAGTTGGCTGGGCAGGGCCGCGGGGACCGGGGCGGACTTAATAGGATCAAGTCGGTGTAATCGCATTTCAGCCATTGTCATTCGAACTGCCGGGAGCCCGAGGTGGGGGGCCGGGCCCTTTAAGACGATGCGCGGCCACACTAGAGACGCTCCAGCATGACAAAGGCCCCAAGGGATCCAGTGGCGGGAAATAAAGAGATGAAGGCTGGAGGCGCGGGGAGGGGGGTGTGGCGGGGGATGTGCCTCCCAAGCCCAGCCCGGCCAGGCCTTTGCCTGCCCTCTGGCCACAAGGTTTCAACTTCGGGGTCAGGTCCTCGGAGACCTCTTTGGATCTCTGGGCCCTCTTTCTGGTCCCTCCTTGGATGCTGCTCGGGGGACCTCGACGGTTGAGCAGGAGCCGGCTCCGTGGGGTCGGGCGGCCCTGTGCAGCTCGGACCTCGGTATTGCGAGGTCAGCCTTGGTGTCGCTCCCAGGCAGCCTTGCGGGGTGACGGGTCGGACACGGGGACGGAGAGGGTAGTTGACTGAAGCGAACAGAGAGCCTGGGAAAGAGCCATAAATTGGCGTTCCAGGAAGAGGGCCTCGCGGTGTGCAGCGCAGGGACCGAGCAAGCCTGGCCAACAGGAGGAGAGGGTGAGCAAGGCGGCTGTGGGAGTTCTCCCGAGGACCGGGCGGCGAATATCGCGCTGTAGGAGAGAACTCAGGCCAAGTGGAGCAGGGCCTGGGTGTCTGGGGAGAGATTCAGGGAGAGTTCAAAGAGGCGTTCCTATGAGGAAGGTCCCCAGAAGCTCCGGGAACGCATTGGACGCTTAGGCCCACTCTTGAATGTCGCCTGTCTAGGAATGCCGAGAGAGCTGCAGAGCGGGAAGGGGACTCACACACCACATAAATTCCACCGGGCGCACACTCTCGAGCGCCAGCTCTCCCGCCTGCTCACCGCAGACTGACTCCGTCTGGAGAGCGCTGCCTCAACAATCTCTGCATCTCCTTGACCGCAGCACTGTGTGTTGGTCAGAAGCGCCTGGGACCTGGCGAGCTGTGGTGGTTCACAGTCCCCACGCCCTTGACATCACAACCCAGTAGCTGCAGGTCTTCAGCGCATCGCCTCATGCCTGCTGTCCCATCATCTACTGCCCACCACAACCTGTACCCAGGCCCTCGGGTAGGAGCCTGAAGAGGCCTGCAGAGGGAGAAGGCCCGACCTTTCCCCAAAGCCACAGAGGGCAGAAGTCAGCTTAGGTCTCCCACTTCTAAACTGTTCAAATAGGCAATCAATTTTTATGATGTGATTTATAATTTATGCGGGTTGTCTTCATACATATGGTGTTGCTTGTGTGTGTCGTGGTTTCAGGTGCTTTATTACTCTGACGGTGTGATTTGCATTCATGTTCGGTTATCAAGATCATATTTCTCCTGTTTACACACCATAAGGGCCCAAAATGAAGATTAATGCCACTTCTCTCTGTCCAGGCCATCACTGTCCACCTGGGCTGTGGTTCCTTCCTCGATCCCAGAAGCTGGCTAGGCTAGCCCCCATGGAGCTTGGGAAAGAAGACAGCGCAGACCCAAGCTCCAAGGGGGAGAGGAGGCCACCTGACCCAGCTGTGCACACTTGGGCAGAGGACCATGGTCTCCAAGGATAGGGAGAGGTGAATGTGTGCACAGGAACTCTTCCCCAAAGGCCATCCAGCTGGGTCCAGCAGGTCACTTGGCTAAGTCATAGCTGGTGTCCAGAAGAAGGTACAGAAGCCAAGTTGACTGACAGGGCCGCTAAAGACAGCTACAGGCCCTTCAGGCAGCTCTGAGGAGCTTAACCATAATGTCCCTCCCGACCTTCAGCACACCCTGTGCTCGGCTTGGTCAGGCCTCGGGGCTAAAGGGAACCTTAGAGCCCTGTGCTAGGCTCACCAGACACAGATGAAATAATTAAGCCAATTAAGCTCCAGCCAATAGAAAGCAGAGGAAGCAAATGCTGTCCCCCGGAGAAAGGGCATCTTGGAAGGCAGGACACACAAACAACTGGTTATGAGAGGCCAGTCCCAGCTGGAGATGGCCCAAAGGCCTTGTACTCTGCCCATTTAGCTGAAAAGGCACCCAGAAGGACTCATCCCAGGGGGCTAAAGACAAGCCTGGGTGACAAGCTAAGCCTTGAAAATTCCAGTGCGGGTTAGGGCTGGAGAAAGCCCTGTACAGGGGACTGGCCTACTCTGCTTGAAAGGGTCTCCTGGACCTCCAGGGGAGCTGGAGGAGTAGGCTGCTGGGATGAAGATCTGGGGGTAGGTTTTCAAAGCAACCCCTGTTTGTCAAAGGGTCATGGATACTCATCTCCCTGATACGGAAGGATTCTGGGAAAGGAGGACAAGGGTCACAGGTCAGGTGGCAGTTCCCAGGAACTCCGCCCCCAACCATGAAGGAGGACCTGAGGTCACTCCAGGTGCCCCACGGCACCACCGGCTGGGGGCCCAGGTCTGTGCACTCCTGATCGTAATTATTTGATCTGCAGATGTAAGTGGAATTTATTGTAACAACAAATATAGTGATGTCAAAACCCAACCTTGGATTAAAGCCGGCAGCCAAAGGGGAAGTGTATTAATTTCCAACAGCATCTCAGGCCAGAGCCTATTAGAACAAGCTATTCTTCAGGCCCCCCCATCAGAATTAATCATTGGGAGTTAATTTGAAGCTCAGACAAGTTGCTGTTAATTTAGTGCAGGGAGGACGGGATGGAATAAAAAGCGGAGGTGCTGGCCGAGCCTCGTGGGTCTCATTAATCAGCCAGCTGAGACGGCCTGGCTTGATTACAATTTGCAAAAAAATTCATTAGGGCCCAGGCGATTGACAATTTTTCTCTCTGCCTGTGATGTGACTCATTAGGCAGCCAAATGAAAGCCATGATGACGGCCATGATGACAGCGGCCATCAAGGGCTGCCTGTTTATCTTCCTGCCCTCGGCCTGTCTCCAGGGCCTTAGGATCTGGGCTCAGGGGTGCCTGGGGGCCCCGGGGGCTTGGGGAGGAAAGGGACAACCTCCTAAGAGGGCAGGAGGGCAGGCAGTATCTCAGGACCCTGCCTGAGCGTTTAAAGTGCCAGTCAGCTTGGATCTCACAGTGGGGATCCCAGAAGGGGCCTGCCTATTTCTGGGGAGTTTTGCTTTCTCAAGGGGTTTGCGTGGGTCAAGGCTTCCATCCTCTGTGCGGCCCACCCCTGACAGAGGCTTTGGGAGAGAGGCGGTAGGAGTTATTTACACCTAGTGTCCTGGAAAGGCATAGGAGGGGCCACTGGGTGGGGAGCCCTGCCACTGGGCCAGGAATGGCCTGTCATCTAGTCCTGGGGCAGGGCCCTGTGTTTGGTCACAGCCCCTCCTGCCCGGCACCCGGCACCCGGCACTCCGGCACCCGGCACCCGGCACCCGGCACCCAAGCATTCCATGGAAGGACTGGTCCAGGTTCTTGTGTATGTAGAAGAGGGCTTGGCGTCCCGAGGACCTAGAATTTTCGTCACCTGCCCTGAGTCCGCAGCCGGCCACCGCTGTATGTTACAGGTTAGGTGTGTCTGTGCAGGGAGCACAGTCCCCCCTTTCTTCAGGCTCCTCCTTGCCTGGTGCAGGACGACAAGGGACTCCAGACCTTTGCAGAGGCTGCCCTAACCCCTAACCCAAGGAGGAAAGGACGCTCCATGACTTTGTCCAAAAAGCCCAAGGTGGAGGCATTTCCCAGTACTGGAAACACTCAGAAAAACAAACAAGCACACAAAACCGTGACCCTGGCGGCCCTCCACCCTCCACCTGAAGTTTGGGCAAAGGTCTTTATGAACTCGACCCCTGTGTCCCTGAGAAGGGACAAGTGCATGTGGAATAAACTAAGTCAGCATTGACCCAGGGCGCCTCGACTTCCCTTCCTGGGCTGGGAACCACCGCCGGAGCCACGAAGCCCCTTTGCTGAGGGTTCCCCCTTCCTTCCATTTGGAAAGCTGATGAGGCCAAGAGTTTCTCTTAGAGCTGCAGTTTTAGAGGCAGGAAGGACTTGGGCGTCGTGGTCACCGTCACTGGCAACTCCACGCTCCCGGGATACGCACTCTTGGGGACGCCAGGCACTGGCATCCATCCCGGGTCACCGCACCAAAGTTAAAAGAGGAGGAGAGGGGCAGGTCACGCCCCTCCCGCGGCCTACGGGCCACCCCTCCAGGGCAGAAAGACACCCTACTCCTACGCTTCTGCGTACCAACCCACGACCGACTCAGCCGGGCCCCTCTTCCCTTCTCCTTGGAGGGGCTGCGGGTGCCAGCGCCCTTGGGGTGGGGCAGTGGTCGGACACGCCCCCTCCGACCCCGCCCGCAGGAGCCTCCGGGAAGCCCGGCCGGGCTCGCTAGGTTCCGGCTCCTGTCGGAAGATAACGCCGGCCGGCTGATTTATGGCCCGGAGGCCCTGCGAGGCGACGAACGCCGCTACTTTTAGGCTTGGGGTTTCTTGTAAGGAAATGCGTTTCTTCCCCCGGCGGGATCGGGTTTGGAGCCTCTGAGTCTGTGCCAACCCCATCACCACCCGCACTTGCTTTCCCTCCTCTGGCCAAAGTTTGCCAGTCCCCAGGCTATTACCGATAAGACCGGGCCAAAGGGAGACAGGCCAGATGGCTAAGCTGAAAGCTGGGCTTTCTTAAATTCATAGTTCTACTCTCCAATTGAACGCCTGTTAAGGTGCTGCGAGGCTTACGGGCCAGTCAGCCGCCATCCTGGTCCCAGGCCACTTAGCTGACCACACACTTGTCAGTACTCTCGAAGTACCCAGGGAGTGGACACTCTTCTGAGGCCCCAAGGATTGAGCTTATGGTGTTTCCTTGCTTTTTTTTTTTTTTTATTCACAAGACTGAGATTGTTTAAATGTCATAACTTATATGAAAATAAGCTACATTGAAATAAATTAAACACAACGGAGACGTGCTTCCGACATGGCTCAGATAGCATATACAAGCCCCGGAAAGAAAGCCAGGCAAAGGCAAAGGAGCAGAGCAGATTCCTAGACTGCCCGAAAGCATCTGCTCTGTGCTCAACTCAAAAAGCCAGAGCAGAAACAAACAAACAGACAGACAGAAAATAAGATTAAGCCCCAGTGTTGTCCCTGTGTCTCCCGGTTACCTTTGGGAAAGTATGGGAAGGTGATCGCTGAGGGCGACAGAGGACAGTGGTGGTTTTGACTCGTCTGGACTGTGTGAGGAGGTGTTCGGTCCTACCCCCTTCAAAATACTGCAGCTGAGGTCCAGTCTATATAGATATCTATATACAGAGGAGGGTCGCATAATAAATATTTAGTGTATCTTCTGGTGTGGCCATAGCCCCCTTCAGGCCCGTCTAGTGAATATACTCTCAATCTGCTTGGGATGCCCACATCTGGGAGGCGCCTTCGAGTTCCCCTACAAACAGTGGAGTCGGCCACGGGTTCCTTCAGGCAGGCCTCAGGGCCTCTCCACGGTGGGGTCCACCTGGCTGGGCCGTTAGGGTCGGGCCTGCTCCAGCTGCTGATGTTGACTCCGAATGGCGAACCTGCTGACGTGGACAGGGATGGGGACGACGATCTTGGGGTTCCGGGAGGGCTCCCCCGTCTTGGAATTGGCGTTGCCTGCCTTGACACGTTTCCATTTGGCCCGACGGTTCTGGAACCAGATTTTTACCTGCACCTCGCTGAGTTTGAGGGCGTGGGCGATCTGCGAGCGCTCGGTCAGGGAGAGGTACTTTTTGCAGTGGAATTCTTTCTCCAGCTCCAGCAGCTGCTCGCTGGTGAAGGCAGTCCGCCGCCGCCGGTTCTTGCCCGTGGACGTGGTGCTGCCCGCTGCAGCGCCGCTCTGCGGGGTCTCCTCCAGCGTGTGGCCCGGGTCTTCTTCCTTGTGAGCAGGCTGGCCAGGCAAATTGTCATCTGAGCTGTAGTCCACATCGCTCTCCAGAGAGAAGCTCTCCTCCTTGCCCTTCGGGTCATCTTCCACCTTTGACTCGTCTTTCCCTTGCCCTCGGACAGCCCCGACTGAAAGCAAAACCAAACGGCGTTTTATTACATTTCCAACACTGTGCCTTCCCTGCCCCTTCCCACCCCGGCACCAACCCCACCCCGCAGCAGATTGTCTTTCTACGACATTAACACATTGTGATTTCCTGGCCTTTGAGGAGTGGGGTAGGGGGAGCGTGAGAAAAGCTCAAAGGAGAGGAGGAGACAGCAGAGGCGAGGCCCTTTGCCCAGAACCATCACTCAAGGGGCTGCCAAGCCTCCCTGCGCGCCCTTCCAGCTCCTAAAGGCTTAAGGAGCAGGGTGCTGCTTGGACCTGAGGCCCAGGAGAACATTCCCTTTGTTCCCTCGGGGTCTGGGGCTGTTTGAAGACCAAGGGAGAGTTCATGATCCTGCCACCGTCTGAACACTGAAATTTAGCGACTCT